GGTCCTCATAAAATGAATCAGAAAATGTTCTCTTTGCTTCTATTTTCTGGGAAAGATTGTAGGGAATGAGTATCATTTTATATGATTCCATTTTTATCCATCTAGTAGCACATCAATTAGACTTCTATTTATAATTTTTAGTGGTTTCCCTAGAGTTTGCAATATACATTTACAACTAATCTAAGTCAACTCTCAATTAACACTATACTAGTTCATAGGTAGTGCAGATATCTTATAACAGTATACTAAATACTAATTCCTCCTTCCTATACCTTATAACATTCCTGCCATTCATTTCACTTATCTTTAAGCTATAATTACCTAACACCATGCTATTATTATTTTGAACAGTTTCTTTTAGATCACTTAAAATAAAAAATAAAAACATTTTACCTTCAGATATCCCATTTTTATGCTCTTCCTTTCTTTATAGGGATCTGATTTTCTAACCTGTATAATTTTCCTTCTCCTGAATAACTGAAAATTTTTTTCTTGCAAGACAGGTTTACTAGCAACAAATTCCCTGTTTTTGTTTGTCTGATAAAATCTTTATTTTTCTTTCACTTTTGAAGGATACTTTTGCTGGATACAGAACACTATGTAGGTGGGGTTCCTTCTGGCCCAAATACTTTAATGTTAAATATTTCACACCAGTGTCTTCTTGTTTGTATGGTTTCTGATGAGAAATTCAATGCAACTATTATCTTTGTATCTCTAAAGACAAAGTGGTTTTCTTCTGGCTGTTTTCAAGATTTTCTCTTACTTCTGTATTTGAACATGATATGCTTAGGTGTTTTTTGTTTTGGTAGTTATCTTGCTTGGTGTTCTCTGCTCAAATCCTATATCAGTGGTCTGGTATCAGTTATTAATTTTGGAAAATTCTCAGCCATCATTACTTCAAGTTTCTTCTGTTCCTTTATCTCTTATCCTTCTGGTATTCCAATGATGTGTATGTTACACCTTTTAAAACTGTCCCATAGTTCTTGGACATTCTGTTCCATTTTTTATGTCTTTTTTCTCTTTGCATTTTAGTCTGCGTTGTATGTACTGACATGTCTTCAAGCTTACTGATTCTTTCCTTGGCCATACCAAGTATACTAATGAGCCTATCAAACTGTTATTCCTATTACAGTGTTTTTTATTTCTACCATTTCCTTTTAATTATTTATTTGAATTTTTATTTGTTTACTTGACCTATTTATTTTTGCATATTGTGTACTATTTCTAATAGACTCTTTAGCATTTAATTATAATTATGTTAAATTCCAAAAATGTATTCATTCCAAAACTAGAGCCATACCCGACTTCAGTTCTGATGCTTATTTTGTCTCTTGAAACTGTTTTTTTTTTCTTTTTTTAAAATAAACTTTATTGATTTTTTTTTACAGAGATGAAGGGAGAGGGATAGACAGAAACATCCATGAGAGAGAAACATCCATCAGCTGCCTCCTGCACACCCTTTCCTGGGAATGTGCCCACAACCAAGGTACATGCCCTTGATCGGAATTGAACCTGGGACCCTTAGTCCACAGGCTGGCGCTCAATCCACTGAGCCAAACCAGCTAGGGCCTGTTTTTTTCTTTTACTATGCCTTTCAATTTCTTCTATGTGAAAATCAAACATGATGTATAACAGTTAACAGGCTGTTAGTGTGATTTTGTTGTTGTTAATCTTGTCAGGCATTAGGCTGTGTTTAATGTTTATTCTAGCTGTAGGTGTCACAGGTTTCAATTTCTTGTAATGTCCTTGATTTTTTTCTCCCACGTTTTCTCTGGGTATCCCTGAAAACTTCTTAGAGTCTGAGCCTTGTTGGTTTTTCAGCGATACCATAGTTATTATCCTAAAGCCCTATTGATGTGGTGGTAAGGTGTAGGGTAAAGGAAACATTCTGAAATCCTATAATTAAGCCTCAGTCTCAATGTGCTTGTGTCCCTAGACTGTAATCTTCAAAAGTGTTTCACAGCTTTCTTTTTCTCTTTCTCTCTCTTCTGATGAGAAATCCAAATGCAATTGTTATCTTTGTTTCTCTATTGACAAAATGGTTTTCTTTTGGCTGTTTTCAAGATTATCTCTGTCTTCTGTATTTTAACATGATATGCTTAGGTGGGACAGGAAGACTAGAGGGGCGTGAAGTAAGATGATTTCCCCTTCTCCCACAGTGGAGAAGGCTTTGGGAAAATTGTTTCAAATTTGGATAGTCCTTTGTTAGGTAGAAGCTCCGGGTGTATTTCAAAATGATAGCTTTTCTGCTCCACATGGCAGGAACAGATTTTTTTCCTTATCTCTTCAACTTGAGAACCTACTGGGGTTCCTGGAGGTATTTATTGACTAATTTCAGAGGACCATGGCTACTATATATGGTGCTTCTAATGTATACTATCTGATTTATTACTAGCCAGGAACAGATTTTTTTCTTGGCTCTTCAAATTGAGAAACTGTTATGTTCAAACACTAATCTACACTCTGACTCAAGCAATTTGTCAAAGTTACCACTTAAGTATTCCTACTAGTTTATGGCTCCTGTGGCTTTCTGCTTCTAATAAGTAGATCTGGGCTGTGATTCTCTTTAATTGCCTGCTCTCCAAATTTCAGGTTGCAGTTTGCTCTGTGAATTCAATTCTCTGATGGGTCCAAGAAAAAGTCATTATTTAATTTGTTCCGCTGTTTTTCTAGTAAGACAGGATGGCAACTTCTAAGCACTTTGTATGTTGAAGCTGAAACCAGAAGTCTGCAACTGGCTTTTTCATTCACATTATGTTTGTGAGCTGCATTCACATTGATACCTGTTGTTATATTTTATTCATTTTCTCTACCGTACAGTATGCTACTTATGACTATACCACGCTTTATCCATTCTCCTGCTCATGAACATGTAGGCTGTTTACAAATAATGTTATAATGAGCATCCTTATAACATCTCCTAATGTGCATAAGTAAGAATTCTTCTAGGATAGACACCTAGGAGTGGGACTGCTGCTTTATACTGTATGTGCATCTTCCATTTTACTAGATATTGCCCAAATGTTCTTGAAACTGGTTGTACTTATTTATATTCAGCCAGAAATATATTAGCGTTCTTAGTGCTCCATATGTTCATCAACACTTGGCATTGTCATGTCTTCATGCCAACATCCTTAGTGTTAAATGTTATCTCATTACAGTTTTATTTTGCATTTCTTTGATTACTAATGAGACTTTGTAAGTTAATTGGCCATTCCTGTTCTCTCCTCTGTGAATTGCCTATTCATATCTTCTGATAATTTTTATTAGGTTGTTTGTATTTTTCTTATTGATTTATAGGAAGGAATTTCCTTGAAGTGACTCCAAAAATGAAACCATCAAGTAAAATACTGATGATATGATTACATTAAAATGAAAGGCTTCTGCTTAACACAAGACATCAGAAGCAATATTAAAATGATAAACCAATCACTGAAATAATATATTTGATAAAGAAAAAATTTGTATTCAGAATTTTAAAATAATCTCTATAAAGAATATGAAAAACTAAACAACCAAGTAATGGGTAAAAAGGAACAGGCAACTCACAGAAGGTTCCTAAAAGAATAAAAGCATGAATACATACATAATTTCACTGGAAATCAGGAACATGCAAATTAAAACAATGAGATACCTTTCAAATGTATTAGACTGGCAAAACTAAAGTCTAATACTACAAAGTCTTGGCAAGAATGTGGAAGAGATCTCTGAAATACTGCTCACAGAGTTGAAGATATACACATTCTATATGGCACAGTAATTCCACTCCTAGGTATGTAATCTACGATAGTGATTCTTAAAATGTCTCTCAGCAGCAATAGCATCTCCTGGGAACTGGTTGGACATGCAAATTCTCAGGCCCTACTTCAAACTTACTGAATAAAAAATTCTGGGGAAAAGCCCAGCAATCTTTATTTTAGCAAGCCTGCCAGGTGATAATCTAACATTTGATAATTACTACAACAAAGCAATATTTTCCAATGTTTTGGACTAAAATCTATAAGAAGACATACATTCTTGTCCCACACCATGTCTATCCCCTCCTTCTCTAATGTGCGTGTACATACATACGTAAAACAAAACCTTCAATAAACAGTAATTACTCTTACTCTATAAAACACCCATTGATATTTTCTATTATATTCTGTTTCATCTCCTTAAAAAGTTGCTGATTGTGACCTACTAATTGTACAATAATGTTTGTTGCAGAATTGAAAAGAAAAAATTTTCAGGAGAATGGACAAATGAATTATACTATATTTCTACAAAGTAATACATAGTCCCTTATAGCATTAGAAACAAATTTCAAAACATTATGTATATTGAGTTTAAAAAGCAAGTTATAGAAAGGTATGTAGAGCATGATTTTATCTATAGTTTAAAAATGTGTTGTTTATTACTATATAGCTATGTAGTAAGAATATAAAAAGATTATTTATAAGTTTACTTAGATATTTGCCAATTTCTCAAGACTTAGAGGGCCTGTGCTTTTACTTTGCTCTTAACTACCAGCACCTTAAGTCATATGTAATATGAAAGCCAGGTGGAGCCTTCTGAAGAGAAAACGCATGTGAGAATAACAAGCCCTACGCACAACTAGGAGGTCAACTGTTTACTGACTAGTTCCAAAGGCACCATGGCTACCAGATATGGAGGTTCTATGAATACTACCTGATTTATTACTAGCCTAAGAAATTGGAGGTTACTTTCTCTTCAATTCAGGTCTTTTAGTAGGTTTGAACTAAAGTCTCTTCAAGATTTCTTTAAAATTCTATGGGTACCTTCGGACCTTAGAAATGCACAAGGAACATCACAAGAAATATGCTACTTATATAGTATGCAGAGAAAGAATAGGAAGGACAAGGAAAAACACAGTCACTATGTCTATGTCACAATTCTTTGGTATAGTAGTAATTAAAGTGAATTTAAAAGTATTACTTTAGTTAGAGGTAAATTAAAATGAAAACAACCCATGTTTTTTGTCTTGGGTTAGCCTATACCTTGTTTGGCTCCCCTGGATTATATGAAGAAAACATAGGAATTTTTCGGATCTCTTCCTCTGACAAACGATTTCTCTGGATCTCATCTTCTGGGACAAATTCTATTGGCTGCGTCAGCTTCTTAGGCCCAGTCCAACACTGCTCAGGTGAATTATCAATAACTTTTGCCACATGGAGACTGGGACCTTTACCCTGTGCTGCCTGTTCTCCCTTGTCCTGGAGTAATGGCGGGTTCTCAGCTGGGTCACTATCTCCCACTGATGTAGCTGAGACCAGTGAGTGGGAAGCAAAGGGTTCACCTCTCATAAGTTGGAACTCTTCAAGACGTTTTTTCATTATCATCTCTTGGTAAAAATTTTCCAGGTTGTTCATGGGATCACCTTTGTTCTTCTTTTGGGGTTCATCTGGATTAAGACAAAGAGATAGGGAAGTTCTACAAAGCCTACCAATACAACCTTTGACAAATTAATTAAAATTAAATCTTTGATCTCAGATTTAGAAACTCTGCTTGGGCAGGTGTTTATAACCTGCAACAAGAGATAATAGTATATAGCTATTTAACCACAGTGCATCCCAAGCAAGGCTGGAACTATTGTGAAGCAAGTACATGCACTTAACTGATAAGGACATTTAAAAATGTAACCAGAATAGCATTATCACACTTCACAAAAGTAATAATTCCTTAATATAATCTAATACCAAGGTCATATTGAAGTGGTCCTGGTTATCACAAAGACATCTTTTTACACTTGGTTTTTTAAACCAGCTTTTGGCTATTATATTTCTTAAAGTTCTTTTATTTTAAAATAGTACTCCTTCCTTCCCACCCCTTCAATCTATTTTTTTACTCTATCCCATTGATTTATTAGAAGAACCACATTTGTTCACAGAACAAATAAATTTGATTGTTTTTCGTGGTATTGTTTAATTTCTTCTTTAATTCCCTCAATTTCTTACAAACTAGCAGCTAAATATAGAGCTATTCTATCTAATACAGTATCCACTGGCCACACAAACCTATTCAAATTAATATTTTAAGTATTAGTTCCTCAGTTAAACTAGTCATATTTTGAAGGTTCAACAGCCACCTGTGGCTAGTGGATACTATATTGGGGGAAAAAAGATAGAGACCATTTACAATATTATACAAGTTACACTGGGTAGTGCTGATCTAGAGGTTTGCTTAGATTCAGGTTTCATATTTTTAGGCAAGAATCCTCCATAGATGGCTGTATACTTCCTATTACATCACAAGGCACATAATATTTGGTAGACCCATTTTTAGTGATGCTAAAATTGATCAGTGTGTTCAGGTGGTATTAGTCAGATCCCTCCATTATGAAGTTTCTCTTTCATCTTTCACCTAATGGGTTTTACATCCAGTGATGACTACTTCTATTAGATTTATTAATTTATTAAGAGTTCTGAAATGGAGCTCCCCTAATTCCACTATTTCTTTGTGTTTATTATTTAGAATTCTCTAATAAACTTACCGTCATCAACTAGTTTCCCTATATACATACAGGAAAGGCAGGATAAATGCACTATTTCCCCCTATGAGAGTAATGAGTTGGTACCTTACAAATGTCCAGTGGTGACCAATGATTATTTTTAGTATAATTGTGAGATTGTGTAATCTTATTATATTTTATGTGTTTCAATTAAATATAGTCATTATTCTTTTTAGCGGTCAAATTATCCCACTTAGAACCAGTAGGAGTCCTTTCAAATTGACTACTATAGTGCTTTTCAGTTTTCTGGCACAGCAAGATATCCCAAGCTCATATTGCACATTTTCTGACTCAAATCTAGACTATTTTTCCAAGGACCCCTGACTCCTTTTAATGGGAAATAGTATTTAAAAAGTATAATTTGTTGCTAGGTGTGTTCATTGCTGTTAAGTTGTTATTGCTTCTAGACATTTTCAGTGGACAAAATCAGAAAAATTTTTTCAAAGAGAAAAAGAAATCATACTGGTATTTCTACTTCAAATGTATGATTATAAGGTTTTTACTCAGACTTTTTATTTTAGACTTGTATATCTCTTTTCACCTGTGCTTAAAATATTGTCTTTTAATATTAAGATTATTTATTTGCTTTTTTATATGTATTTATAGAATTTTTAAATGTCAATAACAATGCTAATATGACTATCAAGAATGAAACTACTGAATGGAGATTTACATCTCTATGCAGTTATCTTTATAGTATTTCCCATTAGGAATGTAAAAATATTGTTTTAAAGTTATTTTAAGTAATTGTTTTTTTCTGTACTTTTATGCTACCAACTTTTTTAATAGTTTAGATTCATTTGTTTCAGGTTGTTCATTAATTTTAGGGATGGATGTTTCCCTTTTTTATTTTAAATTGTGCAAAAATATTTAAATAGGTCTAGAGTAAAAACTGTTATACAGTACCTTCACAGAAATTTCAATTCCATCTCTGTCTCCTTCATCCTATTTCTTTCCTTCCCCATAAATAATAATTTTATTAGGTTTTATGGTTCCATTGATTCTTTTGAAAATATAAGTAAATAAGCATACACACACACACACACACACACACACGTGTGTGTGTGTGTGTGTATATATATGTATATGTATATATATGTATATACATATATCAATATATACTCCCCAAAATGTATATACTCATTTTGAATAATTATAAAGGCAGTATTTATTAAAATACATTTCATTTTCAAAACTGAGCTATCAGTTGTTAAAGTATGTATACATTTTGGGGACACACACTATAATTCATTAGTTATTCCTCTCTCCTACATAAAAAGTAACTTACTAGACACTATTGACAAGTTACATTTCTAAAATGTCTAAAATTTATTAGAGAAAGGGAAAGGGGAGGGGAGGGGAGGGGAGGGGAGGGGAGGGAAGGGGAGGAGAGAGAGAGAGAGAAACTTGGATTTGTTGCCTACAGCATGTGCCCTGATGGGATCAAACCCCCAACCTGGGTATGTACTCTGACCGGAAATTGAACCGGCCACTTTTGGTATATAGGATGACGCTCCAACAACTTGAGCCACACTGGCCAGTGCACAACTTACTTTTTTTGCACTTAACAATATATACTTTAGGTAACTCCCTATTAATATGTAAAGCTCTTTCCCTTCCTTCTGATAGATGTATAATACTCCACTGTGTGGATGTACCATAGTTTATTCAATTATTCCCTACTGATGCAACACTGACTGGTATTATATCTTAGTCTTATTTGCTGTCATGAATAATGCCATGAAAGACAACCTTGTACATACAGGATTTTGTATTTTTCCAGTACAATGTTGAAGTAGATTAAAAGAGGTGGCTTTGATGAGACAAAGGATCAAATGTGTATGTAATTTTTCTCTATATTGCTAAATTCCACATTGTAGAAGTTGTGCTATTCTGCATTTACACCAGCAAGGTATAAGAATACATATGGAAGGCTTCTTAAGTTCCCCAAGACACTAACTATTAAAGAAAAATATTGACAAATTCAACTACATTAAAATAAAAACTTCCGTTCATCAAAAATATCATAAAGACATAGGAAAGTCTCAGAATGGGAAAAGATATTTGCGTACAAAAAGCTGATAAAGAACAATGGGACAAAGATTGAAGAGGCAGCTCACAAAAGATAAAATACACATGGCTAATAAATATACAGAAAATTAGTCAACCATAACAGAATTCAGGGAAATGCTAAGTAAGAAGAAAATACTAAAAGAAAACTGCCATATTGGCAAAAAATTAAAAAGAATGTCAATATCACATATCAGTGAGATTGTAAAGCATATGAAACCCTCAGACATTGCTGATAGGAATGTGCAACCATATTGTAAACCACTATAACATCATTTACTAATGTGCAATATATGCTCATAACATGATCCATCAATTCCACTCCTACATATTTACACCAGAAAAATTTGGGTATATGGGTACCAGGATACAACAATAACAATGGATAGATCACTGGTATATATACAATAGCCTGAAACTAGCAAAAATACAAGTGTCCATTTAAGAAGAATCAATTATTAAATTGTATAATAGTAAGATTATATAATGAAATACTACATTCCAATAAAAATGGGAGATATCTGTAATACTATCAACAATAAAAAATATACTTTAAAAAAAGTGAACAAATTTCAGCTACATATGACTAAGTATTGATAGATGAAATACCCTAATGTATACACTCAAATATATATCTTTATTTAGTGACTATTATGATCCAGCAATTATTCTAGCTTTTTTGAGATACATCCATAAATAAAACAAAGATTTCTGCCTTCAAAGAGCTAAGTAAATTATATTAGAAGGCTATGTGAGAAGATTATGAGTGCTTTGAAAAAGAAAAAAAAATACAGCAGTATAAAGGACAGAAGTGCTAAGAGATGGTAGTATTAGTGGTTGCAATTTTAATATTGAACTAGGTTGGTCTCATTGAGAGGGTACATTTAAGAGAAGACAATGAATGGAACTCCCATTTGACCCAGTAATCCCACTCCTAGAAATATATCCTAATAAACTAGAAATACCGATCAAAAAAGATATATGCACCCCTATGTTCATAGCAGCACAATTTACAATAGCTAAGATTTGGAAATAGCCTAGGTGCCTGTCAGCAGATGATTTGATAAAAAAACTTTGGTATATCTACACAATGCTGCCATCAAAAAGAAGGAATTTTTATCATTTGCAGAAACCTGGATGGAATTGGAGAACATTATGCTGAGTGAAGTAAGCCAGTCAATGAAAGAGAAACACCACCTGATCTCACTCATTTATGGATAATAAAGAACATTATAAACTGATGAACAAAAAGATAGATACAGAGACAGTAAAGCGCCAAACAGATAATAAAAGAACATTATAAACTGATGAACAAAAAGATAGATACAGAGACAGTAAAACACCACACAGATTGTCAAATTACAGCAGGGAGGGTAGGGAGATAGGGGGGAGATAAGAGATCAATCGAAGGACTTGTATGCATGCATATAAGCATAACTAATGGTCGAAAAACTCTGGGGAGGGAGGGCATAAATGGGAGGGGGGGCAATGGTAAGATATGTACACATATAATACCTTAATAAAAAAAAGAAGAAAAAAAAAAAGAGAAGACAATGAAAGTGAGGGAAGCTACATGCTGATATTAGAGTGAGGGTCCCAAGTATGTCTCAAAAATTTTAAAAAGTCTGAAATCATACAATGGGTTTCTCTAACCACAAACAAATCACATTTAGAGATCCACTACTGGAAGAAATCTGGGAAAACACAAATATTTGAAAATTAGACAACACACTTCAAAATAACCCATAGGTCAAATAATTCACAAAGGAAATTTAAAAATATTTTGTATTAAATGAAAATGAAAACACACATACCCAAATTTATGGATGTAGCTAAAAGAGTACACAGAGAGAAATTTGTAGTTCTAAATACAC